AGAGGAAGATGCTTATCGTAACGATTCGGTGTTGGATATTCTCTTAATTTGTAGCTGTTGTTGCTAAAGGAACAAAAAAAGGAGTTCTTTATTTTAATTTTTATCTATTTATTTTACAGTGTTCTTTCTGGCAATATTACGGAGCCCCTGAAGGGACATGGATGAAAAAATAAACTTTTGCGAGATCCCGCAATACTTTTGCGGAAGTAAAACAGACACACAACAGTGGAGGCGCAAAGTGTACTGCTATCGGAGGATAATACACCCATGTGTCAGCTTTTTAGAGAAGTCCCAAAAGACGACATTACACGAATAAAGAGAGACAATGTCAGTATGCAATCCTACGGGGCCCCTAAAGGGACATGGAGGAAAAAATAAACTTTGCGAGATCCCGCAATACTTTTTTTTTTTTTTTTTTTTTTTTTTTTTTTTACAGTGTCCTGTCTGGCAAGGTGGCAATAAGAATAATTGTCTTGATGCCAAAAGGAGCCCAACAGATTTTACTTTCACAAGTGTAGCGGTATCGCAATTGCCATACCGCTCCACTTGTTTCATGTATATAAATTGCTTTATTATAATTATGCAGGGAGTTTTACAGTTCATATGGACACTGCAATGTAAGTAGAGCAGAAAAACAGAAGAAGAAGAAGGAAAAAGAAAAAGAAAAAAACAGGACAAAAGATGAAAGAAAGAGGAGATAGGAAGGAGACAATGACAAAACATTTTCAGTCTGCTTAAACACCTGTAATGAGATGGAGAAAAAAAAAAAAAAAAAGAAAAAAGAACAGCACAACCAAAAAACATGGTACGAGATATACAATAAAGCAAACACCTTGAAACTATCACTAAAGTAATATTATTAAGTCTGACATGTACTCTGTGTTACCTGAAGATATGAATGTGGGGTTTCTGTTTGGAAGTGAATCTCTAAGTACCTGAAGCCTAGCACCTGTAGTTGTTTGTGAGGGTGAACTTGTGCATGTAAAGTTTTAACCATAGAAAAAAATGCTCAATAGTGGTTGTGGAGAGCCGGAGAGGCACACCCCCCAGAGCACTGAGTCCAGCGCCGGGAGACCCAAAGCCCCAGGCGCCCAAGGGGACCCCAGAAGCGAAGGCACCAAGGCGGGGCCAGCCCCGGAAATCAGACCCCACCAAGGCAGGAGGAGAGACAGCCACGAGGAAGCCCCCCAGCCACCGCCATGCCGGCGCCCCGGGGAGCCGCGGGGACGAGTCCGCGGGCCCCGCCGGCAGCCGGCCACCCCGAAGTAGGGCCGGGCGCCGAACACCAGCCCCCCCACGGCGCCGACCGAAACGCCCCAGCCCCACAGAGCACCGAAACACGCCCCGCCCCCCCGCACCAAGCCCCGGCGACCGGCCGCAACACCCACCGCGACCGCACCACCCAGGAAAACACTAAGACGGCCCCGCCCCCGGCCGGGGCCCATGCGCATCCGCCGCGAACCGGCCACGAGCGCCGCGGGACCCCCCCCAAAACGCCCCCCCGGCCAAAAGCGCAGCCCCACCCCACCAAGACCGATGCCAACAGCGCGCAACGAAACACACCGCGCACAGAATCAGCCCGAGAGCAGAAAAGCCGCCCGGCGCAAAACCGCAAGAGGAGCAGACCGCAGCCGGCGCAACCACCCCCCCCAGCAGCCCGAGGGGCAGCACAAAGCCAGAGCGGAGCGAACCGCGCCGCCCCCCCCACCGGACGATGCCAAAGCAGCCCAGCCACGTCCGCCACCCCCCCCGCAGCCCGCACCAGGCCCCGACACGCGGCCAGAGCAGCTCCGCCGCCCCGGCCCCCCACCACGCGCCGGTCATAGCCACCCCAGGCCCACACCCGCCCCGCAGCCCCACCCGCCGCGATCAGTGGGAACAGAGCAGCCCCGCCATGCCTCCAGGAGGGAAAACCCACCCGAATACCCAGCCAGCGCAGCCAGCCCGCCCAGACCGGCCCCCCAACACTACCCCCGCCGGAGCCGCCCGGACCCCCACACACCAGCGGCGCGCCGCCAGCAGGACCCCCACCCAGCAGGCCCGCCTGCCCCCCGAGAAAACAGACATGCCAAACCCCCCAAAGAAAAAAAGAGAAAAAAAAAAAAAAAAAGGGGCCCCCACAATGCGACAGCGGACACCAGACACCGACCCGCCCGCAACCGCTCCCCCCCACCGAGGAAGAGAAAAAAAAAAAAAAAAAAAAAAAAAAAAAAAAAAAAAAATAAATAGGTAAATAAATAAATTAATTAATAATTACAATTAAAATAAATAGGCAGGAGGAGAAGTGCGAGCGGAAAAACCGGAGCCCAAAACAGGACCCAAGACCCGCACCCCACCATGCCGCGCAGCTCCCCCCCTCCCCGAACCGATACCACAGAACCGGCATAGGAAAGAAACACCGCCCAGGAACCGGCATCGTAGCGAAGGCACCGGCACCGACCCCGAAAATCCCCGAACAACACCCAGCCCCACCCCGAAGCGGATCCAGTCCCAGGCCCCAGGGATCCGAGGCCCCAAGGGCACCCCACCCCCAGACAGGAGCCCCAGCAAAGCCCCGGCCGGCCGGGGCCAGTGGAGAGGCCGCCAGGAATGAGCCAGCAGTCCCCCGGGCATCCACCCCCAGCTCCACCAGTGCACCGGTGAGCCCCGACGCCAGCCAGCGGAGGGAGAGCAGGACGGGGGGAATGGGCTCCGCACTTAGCGGAGACTTGAGATGTATTTGGGAGAGGGTGCGGTTGAGACCCCAACCTGGGAAAGAAAAAAAAAAAAAAAAAAAAAAAAAAAAAACACACCATCTCAATCATGCCTTCCCTCCCTAGTGCCCCCACTCGTACCACAGGAAAAAAAAAAAAAAAAAAAAAATTGAATAAAATAATAATAATAATAAATAAAGAAAATAACAACGCAGACACACATTCACACATAACACTCACATCCAATAATACCAGGACCAAAAACCCGGTGACACCGGTGGTCGGTCCCGGGACTATCGGATGACCCCATAAGTGAACCTAAAATCCGGATGTGAGGGGAGGGGAGCGGCGACACCGCCACACCAACCCATCTCTTTCCTGCTTCAAGCCCGGCCCCCCACCCCGCACACGGACCGGACCACCCCCCGCAAGAGCCCCCCCCGGGACCGGGGCCCACCCATCCCGCGCCGGCCACCCAACCAGAACCGCCCCCCCCCCCGAAAAGAAAAAAAAAAAAAAAAAAAAAAAAACCTTCAACCAGGCACTTCATGCCCCTCCATCCAACCTTCTTTGGGGAGAGCAGAGGTGACAGCCCCGCCACCAGCAGGCCACCTAGGCCCCGCAGCCAGCCCCAGCCAAAACCACGGACCAGGTGGCCCGCTCTTCCTCCAGGCCCCAGACTCCAGGCGGCAGCCGGAGAACAGGGTGTGAGAAGACCCCGATCCTCACTGCGCCCGCTCGAATGTGGTGTTGTTGCGTGTTGCTCTCAGATGCAATTAAAACTGGGAGTACCAAGAGGGGGTGTCCGGCACACTCCACCCCCCCTCCAGGAGATAGACGGTGCCAGCACACCCTCCCCCTTCGACAACCCTCAACCCTCAATGTCTAGATGCGATACTTTTACGAGATCTCGCAAAAGTTTATTTTTTCCCTCTATGTCCCTTTAGGGGCTCTGTACAATAAGGTAATATGAATAATAAGAATAATTGGGGATACAGAGGTAAATTTCTCCAATGTGAGATCAATAAAGTTCAATTAAAACAATTTTGAATTAAACAGAAGTTACTCAAGCGGCTGCAGCTAAGCATTATTAAACCAAAAAAAGATGAAGGTGAGTACATTAGCATGTGTCACACAAAGTGCAAATGAAGAAATCCTTTATGGGCCTACATCCTGTCATTCAAAGGATTGTGGGAAACCATAGTGCTTCTAGCAGTGGCTAGGAATAAGGTTCCTTTGCCACATGAATTGGCTCCAGGTAGTATCCTTCTAGCCTCGTGAGACCATCCTGATCTCGCGAGTTTTCAAGATTTCACTCGCTAATCAGTCTGGAGACTCTCCGTTAAAGAAAAATTGGAGCCGTTCACCAAACGACCTTCCAATCAGCGTTGGCTTTGAGGCGGGTTGAGGTGTGACGCAACGAGAAGCGCAACAGTTCAGTCTAAAAGACATGGCGGCTTCAGCCGATGAAACTAGCGTTAGCGTGGCTATCGAGGAAGTTTTATCGGAATTATACTGTATTTCTTCACTGAAAGAAGAGCAAAACACTGCTCTGGAGGCTTTTCTAGGAGGAAAAGATGTTTTTGCTCTTCTCCCGACTGGTTTCGGCAAGAGCAGCCTGGCTTGTGGTTGTGTTTTCGTCGTCGCTCTGTTAGTACGTCATATGCTTCGTTGATCTGATCGGTTTATGTGGCCCGTCTATCACCAACATAGGCCAATCAGCTAACCAGTATTTTTGCCCCTTCCCAAAATTACTTCAACGGAAGGTTTCCAGATGGATATGCGGAGCAAATCCATCTGGCGGAGTCAGGTTAGTATCCTTCTCCTTCGTCCTAGCTCCTTCCTTACTGCCGGCACAATAGGACTTAACATGGTTACTGCTGATGCTTTTCAGCCATTGTTTATGTGTCCTTACTGATTTGAGATATTTGGGTCAAGCCATTGTGTCTAAGACTTACTGCCTACCGATGGTGTTCAGAGGGCTTGTCAGTGTGCCCCAGGGGAGTTGTGGCTACAGGTTGGATTGCCACCATCAGTGCATGAAATAGCTCCTAGGAGTCCCCTCCCTCTAAAAGACTCTTTCTAAGCCTGTGTCATTTTCCTCTGATATATCTCTCTGGACTTGTTTTTCTGCTACTACGGTCTGTTTTAAGTAACTTTTCTAGAAATGTCATTTGATTGCTTTTTGTCAGTCAGAGTTAAGCTTGTTTAATGAAAATGATTTGAGCTTTAGTGCTTCTTCTTGTCGCGAGTTATACTCACAGGCCGCTGACACCACTAACATGCCGTGTTTCTTTGCTTTTCCAGGGTTTGGTGTCTCAGTGGTGACCAGCAGCAGTGCAGGGAGCCGTCCACGTCCTGCCTGCATCATTCCACAGTATTCCCGGCACACCCGCATGTGCTGATCTCCCCTGTTCTCTACAGCATCTCCTCACCACCTCCAAGTATCTAAGATGGACGATGACGGGCGCTACCGAGACGGCCGCTCAGACTTCATCCGCGGCGCCAAAGACATTGCTAAAGTTGCCAAGAAGCAGGTTGGCAAAAAGGTAGGCCGCGGAGTGGACAAGATGGCCGACGAATATGTCAAACGCTCCTACAAGCGCTTCGAGGAGGAAGACGACGACGATGATTATGCAGGTGTGCCAAGCAACGACGGGGGATATTATCGGAATGACAGCCGAGCCAACGATGACGAAGGCCACAGCGATTCCACCGAAGGGCATGATGAGGATGATGAGATCTATGAGGGGGAGTACCAGGGCATTCCAAGGGCCGACTCTGGGAAAACTGGCGGCATGGATGGGATGGGGGTCGCTGAGGCGCAGCAGTTCAGGGACCTGTCAGCCTTTGAGGGGGAGGTGAGGAAGGATCGCGAGGAGTTGGCCCAGCAGTACGAGACCATCCTTCAGGAGTGCGGCCATGGGAAGTTCCAGTGGACGCTCTACTTTGTTCTGGGACTGGCGCTGATGGCGGATGGTGTGGAGATCTTTGTGGTCGGCTTTGTGCTTCCCAGTGCGGAGAAGGACATGTGCCTGTCAGAGCCAAACAAAGGCATGCTGGGTAAGAGGTTTGCTTCCTGTTAGACTGTAAAACCTCTCATATCTCTGTGCTCTGCTCTTTATTAACTCTGTTTTAAGTTAAGTACCCTGTCTGGTATCTCAAGCTTCCAATTATCATTTCATCCCCTTGTTATCTAAGATAATACCTCCGCAGTGTCTCTTCCAGCAGTTATTCATGTTTTACAGTCTAGTAGGACCCAGTGTGCCAAACTGCCAGCTTGGTCTAAATTGAGCTCTCAGGCACACAGTATTATCAGCCTCAGTTCACCTGTTTTATTGTGTGTTTGTTTGTATTTGTGGATCTGAAAGGCAGCGTTGGCTTTGTTTTCCTTTGTGTGTGTTGTTTGTCTTTCTCATGCTGTGTACAGCACGGCTGGCTCGCTCTGTTTGCTTTGAGTGGAAGCTGAAGACTCCAGGATTGTTTTTCCTACCCTGTGGGTTTCTGTTTAATCAGAGTCCAGGATCACATGATCATCTGTCATTAACTGCACAGCAAGGATACATAGGAACCAGATGTATATCAAGAATAACTATATCCATTTAGTAAATGAAATGATTTACTCCTTGTACATTGTAACTTTACTCCTATTGGTAGGAATTGTTTTTTGTATTCTATTTCAGAATGACTTTGGCCTTTGATATATCTTTTCAAATGAAATACAAAATTCTTTGTGATCCATTATGCATTTTTATTTACTTCCATTCAAAATAGCTTTAGTTTTAGTTACTTTTGTAATGTGATATAAAGTATTACTTTTTATTAGTTTTTCAAAACCAAAATCTCTCCAAAATGTATCATGTTAAAGGTGCAGTAGGGGATCTTGGGAAAAAGGTCCAGCAAGCTATATTTTTAAAGATACACAACCATACCTCTCCCTTGAAAACCCCCTTGAAACCACGCCTTCAAAACACATGAACGCGTTTGCGGTCTGCAGTGCGTCTAGAGCAGCAGGAGCAGCGCTGATGATGCAGATCACTATGATCACTCCTCTGAAACAGTTTATTAACGCCAAATTAATTTAAAATGCTGAAATCTGCCGGCAAAACATGTTTGCTTTTATTATCCTGGTGCCTGCAGTTTGGATTACATACATGAAAAACACCTTCCAGTCACCGCGGCAAACCGCAAGGAGGCAACTGGGCCATAGGCTGCTGTTGAATGGGGTTCCTAGTGACAGCGCACTGCCGGTTTACGGGGGTCTGAGCGCCTCCGGCAGAAATAATATTTGAAGGCAGGATGGTAATCTGGATGAACTGACAATGTTTTCAGGTGGACTTTTTACCCACTGATCACAGCAAATATAGCTGCCATTGTTCCAGGCAAAGAAAGGATAGAGTAGCTCCGCCCAACGGAGACCCACTTTTCCACCGCGCAGCCAGAGCAGCAAAGATGCTTCAGCTGCGCGTCAGAACTAAACTTGTACAAGCATCAAATATGAAGCAGCACAAGCATTTTTGTTGCTGTTGCTGCCTTAGGTGTGAATAGGGTGACCAGACGTCCTCTTTTTTCCTGGACATGTCCTACTTTTCATACCTAAAAAAATGTCTGAGGGAAATTTCAAAATCGTCTTAGATTTTACTCGACTACAGTGCAGCAGAACCGAGCCGTGAGCTCTGGGGCTGGGGAAAGAGCGAACGTACATGACCTGGTGATGGTAGCCTGGACACCGGCGGCCCCGTGCATACTGTCACCGGGTCGGGTTGGTCGCTCTGCCTCCCGCCGCCGGGGTTGCCAGTCCGGTCAAGTCAGCAGCCCCAGCTGCCCCCAACAAGTGTCCTCCTTTTCAGAAACCCAAATCTGGTCACCATAAGTGTGAACATAACATAACAGTGGCTAGCTTCCAGCCATGGCGTCCTACAGGGGGGAGGGACAAGCAGATGACCATGATTGATGTTTCATGGAACCAATCGTGTACAACGGACCGTCTTTTGTGATTGGTTGGGGTTATTCATTGATTTCTCACTGAAGCGGGGACCATATATTTTAGTTTCACTGCCAGACCTTCTATTTCACTGCTTGCTAAGCAGCTGTGGGAAGATCTTTAAGCCACATGGTAAAAAATGCGTCAGAAAAGATCTCCTACTGCACCTTTAAGTTTCAACTCAATTTCAATTCAATTCAGTTCATTTACATTGTGCCATTTCACAACATGTCTTCTCAAGGAACATTACAGAGATATTTAAACCAGATAATACAGTTAGATCGGTTAAAATGTTTCTATATAAGGACTCTCATCTGATTGCATTCAGTCATTGGCTTTGCAGGATTTGCTCCTCCTGCATGAACATGTGGTGATTGGAGACATTTGTTGGGGCTTTGTCATTGACTTTGCAGCAATCCATTTCATTGCGCATGCAAGCAGCGACAGTGGAGATGAAAAAAATTGCTCACTGGATATGGGGCCAAAATTGTTGCTTTATTATTTGCAAATGTGTGTGGAGAGATGTGTATCTGTATCTCGATTTGTGTGTGTGCAGTGGGATTTGAAAATGTGTAAATGAAACTGTAAATGTGTGAGGAGATTTGTGTGTCTGTACAACAATCTGCAAATGTGTAAAACTACTGTGTGTGTAATCTGGTTTACAAATGTGTAAAAAAATCCACAAATCTGTATTCAGATGTGTGGATCAATCTGTAAGCACACACAGACACACTTATGTCTGAAGTACTTTCGGTTCAAGACCCAGAAATACAGACGAATCATTGCTTACAAGTCGAGCGGTTTCTCGGTTGGCTCTCTTTACTTTATTTTAATTTAAACAAAGGAAACAAAAAACCCAACTTATTAACCTAATGATGAACTTTGGAACAATGTATTGATTCATACCAATAAAAGTGACAATCAGATGTAAAGAAGGAAATATTAAAACATTTCATCCAGAGTATCAGAAAGGGAAATTTGAAGCAGAACCTAACTCAATACACTGGTAATATTGTGTTTGAATATTATTATTCATCTATTCACCATCCTGGAGAGAAATATCAGCTGTGCTGCTGCCATCAACACCTTTGTTTATAGATGTTGGAGATCGGCCTGTTTTTCAGTGTAGTCCTGTTTCTCTGACTGTGGCTGGATGTGCTCTCTTCATCCTCTGACATGGGAGCTGGCTCGGAGCCTGGTTCTGCTGGAGGTTTGTTCCTGTTAAAAGGGAGTTTTTCCTCTCCACTGTCGCTACACGCATGCTTAGTGTGAGGGATTGCATTCAAGTCAATGAATGATGCAATCAACTGATTTTCCTTTAATAGTAAAATTTGACTCAATCTGATTTTATGATCTATTGCACTGTAAAGTACCTTCAGATGACATTTGTTGTGAATTGGCGCTGTAGAAATAAACTGAACTGAATCCTTGCTGGTGTCTGGTCCTCTTTGAAACTCCTGCAAGGGAGGGGTTTAGCAGGAGGAATTTTAAGCATTTGTTTTCCAGATTGACTTCCAGACAGCGCTGATAAATAGAACGGACTAAGATCAAATGGGATTTTATAAGCTAACCTGCACCCTTTTTGGTGTTTGCTAACATTTGTACATTTTGTACTTCAGGGAGCTTGTAAAGGCCGTGTTGCAGCTGACATCACCATGATATTCCCTGTATATGTCAGTTCTGGCAGCATGCTGCAGGGGCGGCGATTTGGCGTCTTTAAAGGAGTTTGAATCCTCCTCCATCCCTCACCCTGAAGATTTCACCTCTAAAGGAAGCAGGATAAATGCTTAGGTTGTAGGAATACTGGGGTATTTAGGGGTGGAGTCCTCAGCTAGGAGACACGACCCGCTTCCATCCTCTTCTTTGCCTCTTACGCAACATGTCTGACTCATTGCAGAAGAGGCTTTTTTTTTTCTTTGCTCCAGCTTCTCTGCATCCCCTGATTTCCTGCTGTTCTCTAACTCCCCCCACCATCCTGTGTGCTCCATTAGCACTCAGTCTCAACATGGAATCATGCCTTGCATACAGTGGAGGAGCCTCTGCACATGTGCGGTTCACACCAGCCGACTGTAAAAGCTCATTTCATAAAACACTGCCATCTTTTTTTTTAGGAGGAGGCTTCCAATTGCAGGTTTTTAGGTCACATCTTAGGGGGATATTTATTTGAATAAGGAATAGATACTCGGGACTTTAGAGTGACACTTAAATGAAATTGTGATGCAGCGTTGATGCTCAGTGAGCGGGAGGGAACGCAGTGGTTGTCATTGATTTGCCCTTCTCATGAAGCTGCCCGTTGCTGCAGCCAGTTAACCAGAAACTGAGGAGGTCTGCACAGAAAAGGGCGACTTCTGTTACAAACTAAGCTCAAATGTTTGCGTTTTCCAAAATTTCAGGCCATGTTCCTGTTTAGTTGTTATTATCTGAGTGTAGCAACTGCTGCAAAGATTAGTCTGTTTTCCCAGAAAGACGCTGGTGTGGCTTTTTTCCTGCAGCATTCAGGAACCTTTCTGTGTTCTTATGCCTGTTTGGCCTTTTTAAAGGATTTAGTGAGTGAAATGATGGATGAAGGGAAACAGATGGGATAAAGACAAGATGGCAGATCTAACTAGGCCTGTCTGATTTACTGGTTCCTGTGGGACAGGGCTGGCATGAGGAAATTGGATTGGATGCTTTTGCTACCTGGCTAAAATTAGCAACAGTGTTTGATGCACATTAATGTAGGTGGAAATGAGGCTCTAAGTTGAAATTTGCTTTGATAAACATAAAAATGATGATTTTACCTGAAGTTATAGAAATTGTGTTCTGCTGTTAGAAAGCTCTGCATGAAGAACAGGGGTAACCAGCTATTTATAGTGACCCCCCCCCCCTTTTTATTCCTCCCCACACACATCCACTTGATTCCTCTGTCCTGGCGCCTCGAGGAGCTCTGTCACAGTGATGACGCGCCGCTGCCCCCTCCTCTCTTTTTCTCCCTTTTTACTCCTCTTTTCATGCTCTCCATCTCCTTCTCCTACCACTTCCGCCTGAGATGCTCAGCTCGGCGTAGAGCTTCGCTACCTCTCTTTAACACCTTTTCCAGCTCATTTCTTTCTCTTTTTTTCTGCATCACTGCGGTTTGCTATAAGCTTTATTTATAACATCCTTTTGTTTCTACAAATCTGCTCTTTTTCCTTCTTGGTGGTCTAAGATGTTTCAGTTCGACTGAAAAATGAATTAAAGATGAGAAAAAGAGTGTAGAATATAAAACAGTGTTCTCATCTTACATATTGAACCTTTTGTTTCTGTTTAAGTTTTTTATTTTTTGTGGTTCTTGAGTTTGCTTTATTTTGTTCCGTGTTGTTCATTTTTGTATTCATAGTTTTGCTCTTCCTGGTTATGTATTTATATCTTGGTCTAGTTTTAGTTATAGTTATGCTGTCTCTTGTCTTTAGGTTAGGTTTTCCATGGCTTCGGTTATCTCCAGTCCCTTCTATTATACTCTAGTTTTTCCCTTGTTCATTTCTTATTTTGTAGTCATTAGATTTATTGCCTTTTATTAGGGCTGGGTATTGTTCAAAAATTTTCGGTGCCGGTACCAATACCGATACCTTCACTTCGATACCGGTTCCTGAACCATACTTTTTTTGATACCAGTTTTATGATATCAATTCGAAGAAAAAGAAAATTACACAACATAAAAAAGTACAAATCTTGAGTTTTATTTTAAGCTCTGATTTTTCCATTTACATTTTTCCTCTTACATAAAAAAATTCAGTGTCTAATATTCACTGTTACATTGTGAGGACCTTTTTACTTAACAGTTTTCCTTTAGAAAAATTAACATGTCTGCTTTCTCAGGAGACAAACAAGCCCGTTGAATGGGATTCCTACTGACAGCGCACCGCTGGTATGTGGGGGTCTGAGCGGCTCCAACAGAAATAATATTGGAAGGCAGGATGGTAATCTTGATGAACTGACTGCACTGATTAAGTTTTGAGGTGGATTTTCTCACTTAAAAACATAATTAAAACTACTTTATTCCCACTGATCACAGCAAATATAGCTGCAAGGCAAAGAAAGGATAGAGTAGCTCCGCCCAACCCATGTCAGACACACTTTTCGAATGCGCAGCCAGAGCACAAAAAGCAGCAGACGCGATTTTGCTGCTCTTGCTGCGTCCGTTGTGAACGCAGCATGATTCACTCCGCTCTGGCTTTGCTCCGCCCACGGGCTGCTGAGAGGAGGATGGTCGCGCCGGCTGTGGTCCGCTCTTCTTGCAGTCAAACACCGAGCAACTTTCTGCTCTTAAATTGTTTCCGTGCGCGATGTATTGCATTACGCACTTTTGGCATCAGTCTTAATAAAGTGAAGCCGCACTTTTGACCTGGGGGGCATTTTAAAGGGGTTCCATGACGCTCGCAACCAGTTCACAACAGATACACATGAACTCTGGCTGTAGGCGTGACCACCTGTGTATTTTTCCTGGATGACGCAATCACGTTAAGTGTTACAGCCAATCACCGAAACTTGGTATCGAAAGACGAGGCATGTTTCGATACTCTGTAGAACCGAAGCATTTCGGTCGGTACCATAAACGAACCGATGTTCGGTACCCAGCCCTACCTTTTATACCTATTTAAGTTATTTTCTAGTTACTTTTAGATCACAGTGTTTCTCCCTGGTTATTCTTTGTTTCCCCCTAGTGTCCTTCCCTTCTAGTTACTCTGTCTACACCTGCTCCCTATTAGCTAATCGGTGCTCCCATTGTTTCTGTCTCACATATATACACCTCCTGTTCAGCTGCTCATTGCTGGATCATTCTTTAGGTTTATTCCTAACTAGTATCTATTTTTTTGTTTCTTGAATTTCTTGTCGATCGGTCTGCATTCTGTATTTTTACCTCTTCATTAAATTTAGCAAGAAATTATCAATGCCTCTTCTACTCTGCATTTGGGTCTACAGCAACATTCACCAACCCTGACAAACAGTTTTCAGTACAGTTCATCTAATGGGAACAAATTACAAATCCTAACTGTAAATAAAAGAAGAGAAGAAGAGTATAAGACATTGAACTTCCTTTTCTCCCTGCTGTTTAATAATATTCATTAAGGGAAACTTCTTTGTGTTCCCATTAGGGAAAGAGAATTGGCTTTTTTTTCACAAAATATAAAAAAGAATAATCAGGAAAAAATATGTTGTATGAATATATTATTTTTTTGCCCCTGCTTAAATATTTGTCAATTGTTTTAAAATAAAAAAAAAAAAAGGTAGTAATGAGCTCATAAATAATAGAAAATCATTTGCTTCATTAGGCATCCAAGCTGCTTGATCATTTCTTACTGATGAAGATTTCATAATCAATGACAATCAATAGACATTGGATTATTTGGTAAAAGCTTCATTTTTTGTACTATCCAGAGTTTTGGGGATCTCTGGGCATTAAACGACTTTATGAGAAAAGTGATCCAACGCAGATCACGGTTTGGCTGTTTTGTGTTAGTAATGATTAAATTTGAATGCTGGTGTCTCTGGCTGCAGTTTAAAATGTCCTCTTAGCTTCTAGTTCAGAGTGATCTCGCCTCAGACGTATCAGTGAGACCTCGGGTTGACAGGATGTCAATAAATAACTGACTGGAAGTGAGCGAGTGTGGGAGCGTCAGACAGATTTACAGCAGCAGCTTTGGATTAGTGGATGTCATGTTAGCTCCTTGATTCTCATGTTTTTTGGGGGGTTTATCTGGATGCTCAATTTTTCCATCTGTAATCTTTGGAGCACTTTTATAAACGTGTAACACAAGCGATCAAATAATTCGGCATTGATTTAAAGCAACGCTCTGTAACTTTTTACATTAAGGCTGCAGCTAACAATTATTTTGCAAATCGATGAATCTGTCAATTCCTTTTTCGATTAACCGATTAATATTTGGATAGCCAAAGGTTCCTTAAAGAAGAATTTTTACGAAATTAAACCAGGTGAAGCAAAAACTTTTCCACTTGAGGATTTCTGGATAGAGCAGATTAAGAGATTGCATTTTTTTTTCTATCTTAACTGCAAAATGTTTATTTATTTATTTTTTTTTACAGCCAAGTTTCAACCAACCAAGTTCCAAAAACTCACTTCAGGGAGATGCTTATCTAACTCCCCAACACCCCCCACCTCCATAAAAGGAACGTCCACCTCTCCTTCTTTGGTTCTTTTAGATAACGTATTTATTTGGGGAAGTTTTTTTCCGTTCTTCCAGCAGATCTTCTTTCCTTTCTCTTTTCTGGAATCCGCTTAAGTATTATGCGTTCAAAATTCTAATGTTTATGTTTGTATGTGTTTTAAATAAATCTGCTTGGATGTGTATTTACCAAGTGTAAAAAGCCTGACTTCATAAAGGGATTTTCTTCTCTTAATGGAATAATATTTTGGGATCTCTACCAATATTTGGTAATAAAAGCATAATTTTATTTTTGAAACAGAACAAAAACCAAAAACATAATCCTCTTTGCTACACAGGTGGATGTAAGTGGAGCTTATTTTCGTCCAATTTGTATAAAACGCCTCACAAATCTTTCAGACGCTGATTAATAAACTCATATTTTAACGTCCATCATAAGACGAGAGACAGACTTCTAAAATTCTACACAAACTCCTGCTTTTTTCTGAGGAATCTCCTACTGTTCTTCCAGTTTCATAATTTATGTAAATCTTTTTGGAATTCCATTAAGGTTTCCCAAGGAGGTAATTTAAAGCACATTAGAAATCTAATGAGAGTGAAAGTATGTTTTAAAGTATGAGACACGGGTTTGTTGGAGAAGAATAATCTGTTATCATGCCCTCTGCCTATGTCCTCGTCTTCATTATCTCTTCCAGTCATTTCGCTCTGTCTCTCATCTCTTACCGATCAACTGACTTTTCCTACCTCCTCCCTCAGGTTTGATCGTGTACCTGGGGATGATGGTTGGAGCCTTCGTCTGGGGCGGCCTGGCTGATCGGATCGGTCGGAGACAGACGCTCCTCATTTCGCTCTCTATAAACAGCGTGTTCGCCTTCTTCTCATCCTTCGTCCAGGGCTACAGCTCCTTCCTTTTCTGCCGTTTGGCCTCTGGTGTTGGGTAAGCAGGCAGATGAATCATATAAGGAGTCACAGCCGCTGATGCAGAAACAGTAGATGATTTGATTTGAGTTGAAGTGCCAAAAATCACAAAACAGATGCTGCTGAAAAACATTTAATTTGTTTTATTTACTTGATTATCAAGTAAAGATTGATGGAGATTTGTAAGAATTCATTTGTCAGAACTAATGAACTAACAAAACATATTTTGTCATGAACAGTGTGTTTTCTTTTTTCAAAATAGGCTTTATTTAAGTTTTTACTAAAAAATATCTTTAAAACGTTGTTTAATGAGCAGACTGACACCTCAGCAGTTCAGCACCAATGCATCTATAAGCCTGTTGCCTATTTACCTCAATTTTCTTCAGGTGAGAAGTTCCTGTGTTGTTCTGTGGGTGTGGCGTCAAGTGCCTCCATGTTAAATGGGTCTGACAATCAAACTGTTATATTCAAGATGGATTTTGTTAGGGATGCACGATATAATCGGCCCCCTATCGGTATCGGCCTTAAAACTGAATATCGGACATCGGCCACCCCACCGATATTTAACCCGATATTTGATCAGCTTCTGAGTTTCTAAAGTCTAAAAAAAAAATATAAAAAATACTACTTCTTCTTCTTCCTCAAAAACTTCTTTTTTACAGACTTAAAAACTTCTAAAGACGAGGGAAAAAATATTGATACATTAAAATATCACAATAAATTCATATGCTGATATATTGCCATTTAAAAACACCATATCAATCTCTTTACTAATGAAATATTGCTATATGTCATCGTTATGCTACGAAATCCCCCGAAAATTCACGAAATTTTGCCATATTTTTATATGTTGATATATTGATGCGGTATCGATCTATTTTACTAACAAAATCTCACAAGAATTTGCAAAATATCACGAGAGTTTGTAACAGAACGATGAAATTTCACAAGATTTTGAAAGTAAAATAGATCGATACCGCGTCTTTAAAAATATATTTGATATCAGAATATGAAAATATATTTGAGTATATTATTTTTCAAAGTGTCAGAAATGGATAACAAAACTGCTATTTCAATGACTACTTATTTTTGTCCAGCTTTAACATCGGTATCGATATCGGTTATCGGCTACATGAGTTTTAAAATATCGGCATATCGGATATCGGCCAAAATCCCAATATCGTGCTAGATTTTGTGATTTCTCAAACTCAACTCCGGCACTACCTTACATAACTTCACGTAAGGATAAAGAAATAAAAAATACATACATTAAAATTGATACATTAAAATATCTGCTTCGAGAGGAGAAAATTGCTCTCTGTGCGCGCCAGCTCCTCCGACGCCCGCTCGGGATCATGCTAGGGATCTCACCTCGCGCACGATTTTCTATCCAGCGGCCACGCTCGAGGAAAGCTGCACTTTTGAAAGCGTCTCTGGCCTGACTGATTTTGTCCGAGCGCAAAGAAAAATGTGTTTTGACAGGTTGAGCAGAGACAAACCTCTTCTGTAGTCCTCCTCCTGATTGGGCCTTAACACATTTTACTTCACGCAGGGAGAAAATCAGTCTGAGGGCAGAGACACTTTAGAGAGCGCAGCCGTCCCCAAGCGTGGCCGCTTGATGAAAAATCGTGCAAGCGGTGAGATCCGAGCACGATCCTGAGCGCACCTGGGAGGAGCTGGCAATTTTCTCCTCTCGAAGCGGCAGTTCCTCTCACATTTGTGATTTTATTGTGCGATGGTAGATAACCATGCGCAGAAGTATTTTAACATACATGTAAGTCTGTTTATTTTGCTTGTGGGCGTTTTGAAATAATTGTGACGCCACACAAATGTAACATAATGCACTAACAAATGCTAAAACAGAAAAAAGACATTGTTACAAAGCGCTCTGAAATAATCAACTCCACAAAACCACAGCAAGAGTTCAGCACAAAGCAACTGTTCTGAATGATCGCTGTTTCCTCCAGTCTGAGTCCCATGAGGAAACCCTCCCCTTTGTTTGGCCACTGTCAGTCAATTATTTTAATGTGTTCTGCCAATCAGCATCGAGCAGCCAGCGTAACGACCCGCCCCTGCTCCACGGATCCTGTACGAGGCTTAGCCACTGGAAAAGGCAGACCTTTGCTTGTCCAATCAGGGCTCTGGTTTCTTGCTGTCTTCTTCAATGCACAGAGGCTCCAACCTCAACAGGGATTGCTCATAGTGACTGACAGGCAGCGTCCTTCTGCTCCAGAGCAGAGGAGAGATCGCATCAGAGAGCGAAATAATACATATTTAAAAGATGGAGAATAATAAGCGTGAGAAAATAGAAGAAATTTAAAAGGTGTAAAAAATGTTTTTTAACCATTTAAGCATTTTTAATGTGAGGGATTGCATTCAAGTCAATGAGTCAATGCAATCAGCTGTTTTTCCTTAGATAGAAAACTTTGAATAAATTTTACTGTATGATCTGGTTGAACTGTAAAGTGACCTGAGATGACATGTGTTGTGAATTGGCGCTATATAAATAAACTGAATTGAACCTTCACTTTTACTGCATAACAATGTAAAAAATTCACCTTTGAATTCTGTTTCCTTTTTAATTCTAAATCATTTTTTTTTAATCTGCTACTAACTTTGTAAAAAGCATAATTTTCCTTTTAATCACCTTTCTCTGTATTCTGCCTCTTTCTGTAACTCTACAGCATCGGTGGCTCCATCCCCATCGTCTTTTCTTATTACTCAGAGTTTCTCGCCCAAGAGAAGCGTGGCGAGCACCTGAGCTGGCTCTGCATGTTCTGGATGATCGGTGGGATCTACGCCTCCGCCATGGCCTGGGCCATCATCCCACACTATGGTGAGAAAAAAAAAAAGCAGGATTATGAGTCCTTCTCAGGTCAATCATGTTATTGAAGTCATTTCAGAAAATAAGTGATTATCAGAGAGTAGTGCTCTGAAAGACACAGTATCCATTAGAATCATCCTCCACTTTATTTCAAACCTATTGCCGTTTGATCTTGATCTGTTTCTGTTTCCCTGGGTTATAAAGAGTCTGAAATGAACAGGTTTAAAAATTATTACTACAGAGTTTCCTCCAGGAGTTTTTTTCCTGTGGTTGTGGACTAATGCCGGGGGGTTATGTGTATCTCAAAAACAAAACAATAAGACACTGCTTCACTGTTGTTAAAATGTTGGAATGCAACATATATTCTCCTAATTAATGGATTTTTATGAATTGCCTTAATCCACACTGCATAAATCTAACCAAAGAGACAGTAATCAGAGGCACACATTGCAAGGTGAATAAGTGATTCTACCTGTGTGGTAATCAGGAAAACATTTTATTTCAACACTTTCCGGGAAGAATTTGAGAAAAACTGCGCTAGCTACACAAGAATTGATTAAAATAAAGAGATGGTGTGATATAAATAAACTATCGTTAAATTTGAAAAAAAAAAAAACAAAGCTCATGATATTTGGAAACATTAAAAAAAGTAGTGAAATAAAGTTAAGTATTGATTATGTAGAATTAGAATTAGTTGATGAAATAACATTTTTAGGTGTCATTTTAGATAATAAAATTAGTTGGAAGGGACATATACAGCTCGTCCGGTCACAGCTGGCCAGATGTTTGGTTGTTATAAATAAAGCCCGGCACCTTCTAACCAAACAAGCTTTATACACATTATACTGCTCATTGTTTCAGCCCTATCTAACCTATTGTGTTGAAGTGTGGGGTCATACTGACAAAACAAACATTTAACCATTGATTATTATGCAAAAGAAAGCAATACGAGTAACGAATAACAAGCATTATAGAGATCACACTCACTGTTTATTCCTTGATTCAAGAATTCTCAAATTTGTAGATCTGATCAATTTCAGAACTGCTCAAATTCTTTATAAAGCAAGAAATAACTTACTTCCTGAGCACATACAACAATTGTTTTCTGATAGAGATGGAAAATATAATCTAAGAGGAAAATTAAATTTCAAAACTAAGTATGTTTGAACAACAAAAAGAAGCTTTAGTTTATCAATTAGCGGAGTGAAGCTCTGGAACAGCTTGCCTGAAAACATTAAACAATCTAAATGCATCCAGCAATTCAAAAAAGAATATTAAGAAAAGTATTTTTGATGAATACAAAAAAGAGTAATATATAAAAAGTTGGTATATTGTCTTACCGTAAATAATTATCCTTTACCACCATGACACATGTAAACTGAGGGGGAGGGCCTAATAAGCTTATGCTTCCTCCTACTCCTTTTTGAAAAATGATGCATTTTTTTGAAGCTGTCAATGTAAACATTGTTAAATCATATCATGTTTCAAAATAAATGGAATGAAATGAAATTTACATTATAATTACAGTAGTAGCCATCCAAAATTTCCCCACTTTCTTTGATGGGTCCTTGGCTGATCCCCTGCAGTTCCTTCTTAAACATCAATCTTTGTACTAAAATATTCTTTCTGTCATGATTTGTGGACATTAAGATCTAAAAAGAAGTGTCATCTCCTGGTCGGACCCTGTAATGGTATATAGAAGAGGGGGGTCACTGCAGTGACTGGAAATTGGAGGGGATTTTGCTGGGAGGAGGGAAGCGGGCTGCCATTCAGCTGGCGTTTGACTGGGAAGGGCCATTTTTAATGGCTGCTACGGTATATCCTTTTTTGCAACCCAGGGTGGAATATTTAGGAGTTTTGCTCACATGCTATAACATTAGCTGTATGAAAATGGTGCAGGTCTCCTCTCTGTCCTCTTTGCTTAAAATTTGTGGGGTTTTTTTTTCTGTTATCTTATGCAGGCCAGTTAGTTCTACGTCAGCCCGAGCACCTAAATTCGGCCAATCATATATCAACGGTCATCTGTCAATCAAATTTTTTCGGTCATAGCATCTTGATTCATATGTCGCAGCTAATATTTGCAACGGTTGAAATCAGAAATCAGAATCCTTTCCTTTCCCATTGAGTTGCGTCCCAGTGTCCACAGGGATGGACGTCTGTATCTTCGGCAGGCGTAGAGCTAACAGAACTGGCAGCGTTGCGAGGCAAGGGCTCAAACATGTACGGCTGGAAGCCTTCTACACCAAACCAAGCTTCTGCCGCCCTGGCGTCCTCTTCCACAACATCTTCATCCCCGCTTTCCTCCTCTAAATAAAAAATGGATGACGGAGGAGACTCATCCACGACCTCCGACACTAAACTCTCCTCCTCTTGCATGTTTCCGCTGTCCATAGCGTTCCTTGACAGCGTCGTTTCTAAGTCACCAATTTAGTGCTACTTGGTCCCAATGGAATTTACCATTGGGAACCTACTAGCACTAAGTTGCTAACTGGTTAGCAAGATTCTTACGACAAACTGGCCACAACCAAACTTTTTTGCGAACCTTCCGCCACAACAATCCCTCGTTTAAAGTTGTGCACCACTTGGGAGAATTCGGAACTGCAACAGTTGGAACAGCCGCTTCCCTAAGACTTGAAAAGAAAAACAAAATAAAAAAATAGGTCCAACCCTGCTGCAAGCCTGAAATGGGGCAATGGTCCACAATGGTCCATACTTCCATGGAAAAAGGCCCCCGGTTGCTGTGGCAACACAATCCTGCATAAGCGAAAGATGAAGAGTATGACTACTAGTAATTGTTGCAGATCCAAAACTTGGAGTTAAATTAAAACAGAAAAGGTTATTCAGACACAGAATCAACCTTCTTTGATTACTGCCTCAACTGCCAGAGATAAATACGACTAAAACCTGTAAGCTGGTAAAGATTTAACAGAGAAAAGCAGCCTCCATCTCTGAAAGAAGGAGTGATTCCCAAAATGTTTACGTGGGATTTTTGTCTTTTTAATTCCCCTAAAGGTATTTCATATGTTTCAACATTGTATTTTTTCTGGCTGCAGGGTTCTGTGAGGGAACTTTGGTTTCACTTTCCCCTGTTTGTCTGTGCCTGTGCAGGCTGGAGTTTTCAGATGGGCTCAGCTTACCAGTTCCACAGCTGGAGAGTCTTTGTGCTGGTGTGTGCTTTCCCGTCTGTGGCCGCCATCTGTGCACTCAGCACCATGCCTGAGAGCCCACGCTTCTACCTGGAGGTGAGCTTTCACCTCGCTCAACCAACAATGGACCTCATGAAACATATATAAAAATAAATTAGAGCTTATGATAAAAAACAAAGCAGAGGAGTCATTTATTCAGAGCTCACGTTCCATGCAGTCGTTATGTAAACTAGCTGTAGCAAGAGAAGATTCACCAAAGATAAACTTGGCTTTGATCGATAGATTTAATTGAATTTTTTTCCGACAATATTTGCTCAGTAACTTTAATTTCAAAAGTATGGGGTGAGTTTACTGTCAATACAACAAGCAGATGAATGAGTTTGTGAATGAAAGTCAAAATAGTAAATATATGCAAGAGTTGTACTCTGTGTTTCTTGTTATTAACCCATAGATACATGTGACATCAGATCTTGATATGTGAGAATATAAGTGTAGAAGTTATAAAAACTATTTAGACACATACAACTTTGTCAAAGCACAAATGTATAAGTTTGAATCACATATTTGGAAGTATGAAACATTTATATTCTATTCTGTTCTGCTATATTATAATATGGCAGTATCTGAACGTCCGCCCTAACCCCTAAATCCCTCAATCACTATATAGAGCGTTGACTATAAGGTGGACTTTATAGTGAACTCAGTTAACTGACCGTTCGGACAGATGGTCACTACTTTTCGGCTCCCCTGCTGGTCACCTAACTCCGCCTCTGACACGGTGCCTGCGCCATCTTTCTTGTTGTCGTGTAGCGACAAGGGGCCGCTGTGACAAATCCCACGATGCTTTGCGAGACATTGGATGATCACTACTTTTCAAGGTGCATTGTGGGAAATTTGGAGTCCACTACTTTTTCATCCAACAGACCAGGGGTCATTAATTAAAAATGAGTGGGATTCGAAAAAGGAAAATCAACAACCAATAAAGGTTTGATGACATTTTTAATTATAACCTGTTACTTTAAACAGCATTTAACACTGAAATAAAATGAGGTTTTTATGAATCATTGTTATACTTAGATTTTTTAAATAAAAAAAATAAAAAAATAAAAACTGTTTTCATTGTAACATTAGAAGTGCTTTTTTTTTTTTTTGGCGATGTGGCAATAAGAATAATTGTCTTGATGCCAAAAAAAGAGCCCAACAGATTTTACTTTAACAAGTGGAGCAGTACGGCTATCGCCATAGTGTTCCGCTAGATTTATGCATATCAATAGCTTTATTATAATTCATGCAGGGAGTAGATTTATATGGACACTGCAATGTTAGTAGAACAGGAAAAGAAAAACAGAAAAAAAGGAGAAAAGAGGAAAGAAAGAGGAGATAAAAGGGAGACAATGATAAAACATTTTCAGTCTGCTTCATCACCTGCAAAGAGATGTAAAAAGAAAGGCACAACCAAAGGATATAGTATAAGAGATGCACTAAAGTAACACTTTGATACTATCGCTGAAGTATAAATAGTATTATTTAATCTGACATGTGTACTGTGGTAGCTGAAGATAAGAATGTGGGCTTTTTAAAACAATCTTTCATAGTTCGATATATATAGATGATTTCCTGACTTTCATATCTCTTATAAAACACCTAAACTCCCTTGCAGCCTGGTGCCGGACGTTCTGAATGACTTTACTGTATTAACAGGAGAAGCAATGCAGGTGAAGTTAGATACTTTTGTCAAACAACATGCAGTAGTTTATAAATGTTTTAAACCAGTTTGAGTCCAGATTAGCCTGCAGGTGGATCCAGATCAGGACCCCAGTCCACTGATCTGTGACCTCTGCACATTAAAAAAGGCGTAACCACTATAGAGAGCCCTATATAGTGATTAGGGCAGACGTTCAAACATATTCTATGTCTTTGCTTTAAGAGGTTTTAATTTTTTTGCATAAATTTGTAAATTGTACTAGAATTTTTTTATTTGTACATAGAAAAGTAGTCAAAGTTGTGATTTGTACTTGTATATTGGGGAGGTTTTTAAACTTGTATTCTCACAGATGAAGATCTGATGAAGATCCTCATCTATTATAAATAAAAAATCTCCTTTGTATCTATGAGTCCATAATTAGGAGCAAGTATAAATCTTTTTTTTTCTTCACATTTTTGACTTTCATGTCCAAATTCAGACATCTACAGGTATGTGTTTAACGGCAGTTATTTCAATAACATTTTGTCTGGTGTTTGTCTGATTCTCAGACATGAGAATGTTCTAGGTAGTTGTCTTGTTGTCCTCCTGCAGAACGGGAAGCATGACGAGGCTTGGATGATTCTGAAGCAGGTCCACGACACCAACATGAGGGCCAAAGGTTACCCAGAAAGAGTTTTCTCTGTAAGTTTCACAGAACGCCACTAAATCTGATCTCTGATAAAAATGAAGCATTAAAGGTGCGATCTGTTGCCTCCAGGTGACCACCATTAAAACGGTGAAACAGTTTGATGAGCTGATGAACATGAGCGATACCGCTGCCTGGCATCAGAAATGGAGGTTAAAACTCGCCGCAGTTTTTCACCAGGTGAACAAACTTATAATTATTTTTTTTGACATTTTGGCTTATGTTTTTTTATTTTACTTTTTCGTTTTTCTGCAGGATATCTGGTGTTTATTCTTTTTTTTTTTTAGAACCATTCGGACCTGAAATTCATAATTCGATCAACTAATACTTGCTCTGAGATGTTTTCTGACCATTTACTCTCTTTTTGGCCGTGCAAAATCATTTCCTCCATTTCCTTTTGTATCCTTTTAGGTGTGGAATAATTTCCAAACCATTTTCTCCCCTGAGTACCGTCGGACCACCTACATGATGATGGCCGTGTGGTTTTCTATGTCTTTCAGGTAAGACAGGGTTCATCATCCCGGTTGATTTTATAATTAGGACAGTTTATTTTAACAAAAAGTGATCAGTAAATTATTACATTTAGTTGATTCATATAAAGCTAATTAAAAACAAATCTTTTCAAAAGGGACCTGATGACAAAAACAGATATAAATTATATCCAGAAATGTAGAATTAAATAAGTGCAATCATATTAAAAGGAGTGAGCAGTTATTAGTAAATATTTAAAGTTATTATTGGATAAACTATCTGTGTTAGAGCAAAGATGAGTTCTATTTTTTTAATGTTTTTACTGAATTACTTAAAAACAAAGATTAAGACTAATTGTTTGTAAAAAAAAATATACAAATATATTTATATAAATCTTATATAAATATATATATATATAAAATCTTATCTTTATTACGTTTTTGACTGTTGTTTACTGTACAAATTTAGACATCTAAATCTCTGTTTTTATTGACAGATAACTTTAACCTTAAAGTTATAAAGGATTGAATAAATGCATTAAAAGGACTACATATTTTATTATACTAACCTGTAGCATTTCGGTGTATTTGGATGTAATTATGTTTATTTTAATTATATATTTTTATATTTAACTTCCTATTATAGGTATGATGCTGAAAAATAATGTTTTTCAAGCAATTTAACAAAAATAAATTAGACTTTGCACTAGAATTACAAAGAGTTTATACTATTCAAAAGAAATCAGGACTGTATAATCCTAATATTTCTGTGTGAAAAAAAAACAGTTTACCAGCTAGTTAGATCAATGTAAGACTGAGAACGTGAAGAAAATGCTTTAATAAAGGCAGCAGCAGTTTACAATGAGGGAAGCTGCTGAGCAAAGACGCATCATAGCAACAAGCACTCACTCACTGAAACATCGGGATTGTAGATATGGTAGGGTGACCAGACGTCCTCTCTTTCCTGGACATGTCCTACTTTTCAGAAACCCAAATCTGGTCACCATAGATATGCTAGCATTGCTATCAACAGCTTAGCAACAGAATCATCATTCCAGCTTGCGGCTGTGATGGCATTACGGTGGGAACAGCCCCTCGTTTCAGTAAAAGAAGTTTAGCAAATCCTGATTTGAACTGTCCAACATTTTGAAAGCCGTCTTCAGTAAAATGCTTCGAGCAAATGAACAGCTGAGCATCAAACTTTGCAGGGATCTTCAGATAGACAAAAATAATCCATGCCTGTCGAATCTTCGGATCCTTGGGAAGAATGTGAAAATGTTCCACTTCCTCCGTGCAGCCTGGAACGCTGCATTTATACCCATGGTTATTATAGAGGCTAAGCCAAAGCTTTAAGCCCCTGAGGTGGTACACCAGGGTAAAGTTGACACGCCGATTACTTAGCCGCTTAATTGAAATGAGAGCCGTCCTTGATGTTAGTGCAGGTAATCCATTTATTTCCATGACTCGGCAATGTTCACAATAACACCGCATACATTGTTTCTGCGATCCACATAGCTTTCATTTCTGTATCGGTAGTATTGCTTTGCGTTGCGTTGCGGTCAAAAACTGTTTCCCCCTTTCGGGTGGAACACACCTGTCCTCATCAACACCGGATCATACTTATATAGACAGCTGACAGATCATGTGACCCAAACCATTTGGAATACAGAAATTCATAATCTGCTCCTACACACCGGCCCCTAATTGTTATGGCAGGCAGACGTAACAATTATATGCAATAACAATAGGAGCAAATGAATACATAACTGTTGATTTACACCCCCTGTATCAAACAAAGTTTGGTAATAGGTCTTTCAATGATATTGTTCTTTGTCTGCAGTTTTACAGATCGCACCATGCCTTTTTTATCAGAAAAAACCGATATTACTTTAGCAAGAGGCCAGGAGCCACGTGGGGCAGATGAATCCATGATGACGACGACATCTCCAGATTTCAAATTTTGCTTCTGTTGATTCCACTTCTGTCTTTCTTGCAATAGGGGCAAATACTCCTTGATCCAGCGTTTCCAAAATAAATCTGAGATGTATTGAACTTGTCTCCAACGGCGCTTCACATACATATCTGACGGTTCAAACAGCCCAGGTGGTAAGGCAGGTTTTCCTTTTAGTAGCAGTAGATGATTTGGTGTGAGAGGTTCCAAGTCATTTGGCTCATCTGATAGCCTTGTTATTGGACGATCATTCAATATGGCCTCTATTTCACACATAACAGTATGAAGTCCATCGTCATCCAATCGTTGCTGTCTTAAAACGGAGTTGAGGATGCGCCTAACAAGGCGTATCATACGTTCCCAGACTCCACCATGATGGGATCCTGCTGGTGGATTGAAACTCCATTCAACTCCAGATGGCGTAAGAGCATCTTGAATCCGTTTATGATCCAATGAAGCGAGAGCTTGCCTCAACTCCCGTTCGGCTCCAACAAAATTTGTCCCATTGTCCGACCTGATGTGAACAGCTTGACCCCTTCTGCTGATAAAACGACGTATTGCATTAATGCAGGCATCTGTTTCAAGGGAGTTTGCTACTTCCAAGTGTATTGCTCTGCTCGTCATACAGGTGAATATCACACCATATCGTTTGCATTGTTTTCTGCCTTGCTTGATTTCAACAGGTCCAAAATAATCCACTCCAACATTTGTAAATGGAGGCAAATCAGGAACAAGTCTCTCTTTTGGAAGATCCGCCATCTTCTGCTCCAAAGCTCTCCCATTAAAACGTCTGCAATTGCGGCATTCAGATATGATTTTTCTCACTGCTGCATTTGCATTGGTGATCCAATATTTCCTCCTAAGAGTTGACAGAGTATGGTTTCGTCCACTGTGTCCCAACAACTGATGAATATGTTTAAGAATGAGCCTGGAGATATGCTGATCTTTAGAGAGAATAAGAGGGTGTTTTTCTTCCATGGGCATTGCTCCTTTACTTAACCTTCCTCCAACTCTCAACAGCCCATTATCCAACATAGGGTCCAGTTTATAGATGGAACTCTGTTTGCTTACTGTTCCAGTCTTGGACAGCAAGCAGGAAATTTCATTTTCGAACCTCTGCTGCTGACAATAGCGTACAATGGCCAACTCAGCTTCCAACAGATCCTTGGGCTTTAAGGCGTTGCCCTTTGATGTCACTGCAGCCTTTTTTCCTTTCACTTGCCCAGTATTAAGATCAGGATCTTTCAAATGAGCTGTTTGTCGAATGAGCTGCAACAAATGGGTTTTCAGTCTGAGAAACCAGGCAACAGAAATCTTGAGTTTCCTCCATTCGGAAAAGTAGTTAATAAGAAAATCAGTGGGCTTAATTGAATCAGTGACAGCACAGTTCACAAGAGCATCCCTTTTGAGCTCTGGATCATTGGAGTCCATCTTGTTATCAACAGGATTCTCTGGCCAGAATCCCTCAGGCTTCCAAAGAAAGCTGGGGCCCTCAATCCAAATGTGGTTAGTCAGAAAACGGGTCGGTTTCATTCCCCTTGATGCAGCATCGGCTGGGTTGTCATTGGAACCAACATGCCTCCATTGGGAAGGGCTTGAAATCTCTCTTATTGTTGAGATCCGATTTGCCACAAAGGTTTGGAAACGTTTATCCTCATTGTTGATGTATTTCAGAACTGATGTACTGTCCGTCCAAAACACAGATTCATCCAGCTGCATTTGAAGCTCTGCCTTTAGCATCACGTCCACTCTGGCAGCCAAAACTGCGGCTGTAAGTTCCAGTCTTGGGATCGTCACAGTTTTTAAAGGCGCTACTCTGGCCTTTCCTAGTAAGAAAGCTACATTAATATGATCCTTGTTGTCTTTCAACCGGATGTATGTTACAGTTCCATAGCCATCTTTACTGGCATCAGCGAAATGATGTAACTGGCAGTATTTGAGGTTCCCAAAATCTTTTGGTTTCATACATCTTGCTACTTTGAATGAAGCCAGTAACTTGACCTCCTCCAACCACTGTTCCCACCGTTTTAAAATATCCAGTGGGATGACATCATCCCATCCACAGCTCCTCCTACAGAGCTCTTGCTGCATCATCTTAGCAGGTAGGATGGCTGGAGACAGAAAACCCAAAGGATCGTATACTGAACTGGTGATGGACAGCATGCCACGTCTAGTTGGAGACTGACGTTTCATCTCCATCTTAAATCTGAAGGAGTCTGACTCAACACACCACAGTAGACCTAAAGCTCTTTCAGCTGGGAGGTCATCGCGATCCAAATTGAGCTCTTTTAAATCCTTTGCCCAGTGTTCTTCTGGGATAGACTGCAACACTGCTCGACTGTTACTGATCCATTTCTCCAACTGAAATCCACCTCTTTTACAGAGAGCATTTAGTTCATTTACCATTTTTATGGCCTCTTCCTCTGAACCCAAACTCATCAGGCAGTCATCAACATAAAAGTTTTGCTTGACAGCAAGAACAGCTTGATCAGAAAAATCATATTTGTTGTCATCTGCAGTTTTCTTTAGCGCATAGCTAGCGCAACTTGGAGAGGAAACGGCTCCAAACAAGTGCACAGTCATTCTGTAGACTTTCAGTTCTCTGCTGATGTCTCCTTCTGGCCACCAGAGAAAGCGCAGAAAGTCTCTGTCTTGTTCTGCAACCTTCACCTGATGGAACATGGCCTGAATGTCACCCATAAATGCTACAGTCTCCTGCCTGAAGCGAAGGAGTACTCCAAGCAAGGAGCTGGTAAGGTTCGGTCCTTGTAGCAGTTCTTTATTTAATGATGTTCCTTGATAAGTGGCTCCACAATCAAACACCACTCTTAACTAACCTTTTTTTGGGTGAAAAACACCATGGTGAGGAATGTACCATACTTTCCCAACTGTACCTTTCAACTGTTGATCTGGTACTTGCTCGGCATAACCCTTTTTAATGACATCCTGGAGGCAACTTGAATATTCCTCATGAAGTCGAGAGTCATTTATAAACCTCCTTCTTAATCCAAGTATCCTCTGCTTGGCTACAGAGTAGCTATTTGGTAGCATAGCATCTGTGTTCTTAAAGGGCAGTTTAAGACAATATTTCTTATCCTGTAAAGTTGAAGAGGATTCCATGATTTCCATAAAACGAATGTCTTCTCTTGACATTTCACTTTTCTCTGAGGTTTTTTCATTGAAGTCATGGTCATACTGATTGTTGAGCAGGAACTCCAAGTTAGATACAGAGATCTTGTTCACTAGAGCAGAACGCGGCTTCACTTCAGTGCTGCTGTTATTTCCATCTTCATTCAATGGACCATTTATCACCCAGCCCAACACTGTCCTTAGAGCATATGGGCCCTCTCCACAACTGTTGACCACTTCCCAAGGCTCTAATATCTTGGGAGCGTTGGTTCCTATCAACAAGTCAACATTGGCCTTTATGGTGGGGATTTGAACCTTTGACAAATAGGGCCATCTTTCTATTTCTGCAGCAGTAACAATATTATCTGAAGTGACTGGCATTTGCTTCTGCGTAAGGACTTCTGGCAGAGGATAAAAGTTGTTTCCATTCAACCCTGATACCTCAATGCCAGACAATGAATAAGCAGTAACAACCTTTTCCTGCCCCATTGTTTTTAAGAGAAAGTTAGTCCTTTTCCCTGTGATGTTTAATCTTTGCATAAGCTGTTCTGAACAAAATGTAGCTGTACTACCAGGATCTAAAAGAGCATATGTCTGTAGGACATTCACTCCCTTGGCTGACTTTACTTGCACTGGAATGATTGACAGAATACAGCGACTCTTTCCGGCCCCTGTATGTCCACATGTCTGAGGAAGAGTTGATGGTTTAACTCCTGTTGGCTCTTTTATTGGTTCAGGCTCAGAATTTGCCTTTGGAATATGCAACACAGTTGGGTGTAGTTGATCACAAATTTCACAGATTAAACGTTTATTACAATCTCTGCTGATGTGACCAGTACACAAGCATCCAAAACAAATCCCTTTGTCCTTCAAAAGACTGATTTTCTCTCTGTGTTTCTTGTTTTTGAACTGTTGGCATTTATTTATAAGGTGAGCACATGAACAACAATGACAGTATGGCCTTTGTGTCTTTGATCCATCTTCAGAGTAATCCACTGATGTTGCTGTGGTAGAAAAACTACTCCCTTTACTTCTGATCCTTGACTGTAGCTTGAAGCTGCTGGAAGACCTCAGGCCAGCTGTATGTTGTGGTGCATACACTTCAATGTCACCAAAAATTGGATCAGACAGGATCCTCACATGTTTCTCCAGAAATACAACCAGATCAATAAAATGAGCTCTGTGGTCATATGATTCCAAAATATCATGAGCAACAGCTCTCCATCTCTCTCTGAGTTTGTATGGGAGCTTGGAAAGGACCATTTTCATGTTACTTGGCATATCCAACTCCTGCATATAATGAAGTTCTTCCATCACATTGCAACATCCTCGTAGAAACAAAGCATAAGCTTGTAGAGCTTTAACATCATCTGATTTTATTGATGGCCAGTTCAGAGCTTTGTTTATATAAGCAGTTGCTATTTTGTATTCATTTCCAAAATGGTCCTGCAGAAGACCTTTTGCTACAATGTAGCCACGTTCAGGATCCATATGTTGGCAGCTGCGGACCAGTTCCTTAGGCTGTCCTGCAGTGAATTGCTCCAAATAATACAGACAGTCAGCTTTACTGGCTTTGTTTTCCACTCCATGTTCAAATGCTTTAATGAAAGCTTTATATTGAAATGGATCTCCTTCAAACACTGGAATGTCTCGTGGTGGTAAAGACAGTAGACGCTGTTGATGCACAAGTGCAGCAGTTATTTCATTTTGCTTATGCATAATAGTGACAACATCTCCATTTTGAACTTGATCAGTTTGATGACTTATTCTTTGTCTGGTTTGATTTTCACAAGAAGTTTTTACATCATGTTGTAAAACATGATTTTTTAAAGTCCATTTGATCATGTGCATCAAAATGCTGCTTGCTCACAGAACTTTTCATTTCAGTCCGTTTTGGTCGCACATCCATTGTTTCCAGTTTGGTTGGTGTTGGTACTGCATTTCTTTGCTGCATCACTTTGCATGCTGCAGGATAATAATCCTTTGCCATGGCATTAAGAGTTTTATCTGATGTGAGTTTCATTTTTTGCCTTTCAAAATAAGAGTTCATTCCGTCAGTTGGTGCACGGGAAAGACACTGTTCATCAGAAGCCTGCAGAACTGCCAACTTTGCAGTAGACGCAGCTAGCTCAGTTTCTAGCTCAAGCTGTTCCTTTTTCCTTTTTATCAGTTGCTCCTGTTCCTCCAGTGCATGACGTTCCTTCAAAACAGCCATTCTTGCAACCAGTGCAGCGCGCTCTGCTGCAGCTTTTATTTGTGCAGAGGAAGTTGTACTTGACCGATTGCTGGTAACACTTTTACTATAATGTTTACACACATTAGACACACTATCATTAGGCCTAATATCATCGTCATCCAACCCATCATGATTAATATCAGCACCAATATTTAAATGACCAACACTTTCATTTTTAAGTTCATCATCTTCTTTTGATTTAACCCACCTTTTCACCTTTTCAGCAAATTCATCAGTGAACAACATTTTTGCTTTAAACCATATTTCATGTTTTTCTTTCTCCTCAACCGGCAATAAATTCATTAATGAATCATGTATGCATCTTATTTCAACACACAAGTCAATGTAACCATCAAGAAACGTTCGAACTTCTGATACCAAACCATTTTGCATCAACTCTTGTATCTTTTCCTTTAAATTGCTAGCTTTATTTAGATTAGCCTTTCTATCAGCTTGCAACCGATCTAACCGATTGGCAATTGCTTTAGCAGAAAGTTTAACCACTCGTTTGCCCATTTGTGTGTCACAACTGCTGGTCAGAAAGTCCTGTTTGTCAGCAGTAGATGGCGCACTAGCACCTGCTGGTAAATCCACGTCCGCTATGCAATCCTCCATAATAAAAGTCCGTCAGTCAATAGATTGCAACCAGTTAATTGATACAAAGTTCCTCCACTTCAGCAACCAATGCATTGGATTTATGCCATTATGTGTGCACACGTTTAGATTTAGATTCAGATGGCCATCTTACTAATTGTAGCGCTACACATACCTATTTGATGCGTGCATTTCAAATCCAGCAACGAGGAAATCCCAGGTGTCCTCCTGAACGCCGATCCTGTCCGACGTCACCCCAGGCTGCAGATGAGCTGATGCCAATCAGCTGACGCTCCGTTCCCAACACACAGGCTCCATCTGCGTCCCTCGTCGTAGACAAACGCCATCCAAAGTTCCTTCTCCACGATCAGTTCTTTTCATAAACAGTTTTTGACTTTTGTATAGAGGCTAAGCCAAAGCTTTAAGCCCCTGAGGTGGTACACCAGGGTAAAGTTGACACGCCGATTACTTAGCCGCTTAATTGAAATGAGAGCCGTCCTTGATGTTAGTGCAGGTAATCCATTTATTTCCATGACTCTGCAATGTTCACAATAACACCGCATACATTGTTTCTGCGATCCACATAGCTTTCATTTCTGTATCGGTAGTATTGCTTTGCGTTGCGTTGCGGTCAAAAACTGTTTCCCCCTTTCGGGTGGAACACACCTGTCCTCATCAACACCGGATCATACTTATATAGACAGCTGACAGATCATGTGACCCAAACCATTTGGAATACAGAAATTCATAATCTGCTCCTACAGTTATGACTCATTTTCAATAGAGAAACTGCCTGCTTAGTAATTCTTGTAGAAGTAAACCCAACTGTTGGCTAAACAGCTAAACTGGTGTCTTCCATCGACCTCTATTCATGTTCTTGGACCATTAAACCAGTGGGCTGGTCTGGATGTCAATTTCAGGGCATGACAAAAGTACAGGCCAGAACCAAATAAGGCAACATCCCCAAATTGACGTCAACTTGGTGCTTCGTTTGAATTCACCCGTTTTATGGTGGAAGTTTAGAATTGAGAGATTTGCAGAGAAAGGAGATGTTGATGGGGTTTGAACCTCTCTGTACGTCCATTTCACCCACTGAACTATCGTTATTCATCTATGACAATGGAAACTCGGTTTTGCATTCTATGACCCGTTTAATGAAAATGTGAAAAAATTACAATTCAGAAATAAAACTTTTGAAACTTTCCGCGTTAGCTAGCTATCCTGTGTTTCCTGTTTATCACAGCCAAGCGTAACCTAAACGTATGATGACATCATACTTTTTTTGCTTGGTCAATTCGCTCCAAATCTACTTTCCTGAAATTTCCTTCATTTTAAGTTTCCTCAAATTTCACACGGCAATTGGATGGAAACACAACTTTTGATTTTCTGCAGAAAATTCATGTCAGCATTTTTACAAACGTAAAAGTTCACAGTTATTTTCATACTAAAATATGATGTTCATCATCAATAAAATAGTAACTTAAAAAGCCATTCAACTGGTGTATTCAAAGAGTAAAAGACGAGTCTGTTATACAGTTTAACTGTTAATTATTGATTCTCTCTTTTTTTTCCTGTTCTAGTTACTACGGATTGACTGTGTGGTTCCCAGACATGATCAAGTACCTGCAGAAGCAGGAGTACGCCTCACGCACCAAAGTTTTCGTCAAGGAGAGAGTAGAACATGTGACCTTTAACTTCACACTGGAGAACCAGGTCCACCGTCAGGGGCAGTACTTTAATGACAAGTAAGGCTGCTACACCAGTGCTGAGAGAAGTGGTTTCTATCCCAGATAAATGTACAATTATCAAAAAAAGCAAAAAAAAAAAAAGAAGAAAACAAAGAAAAAAAAAAAGAGAAAAGGAAAAAACAAAGAAAAAAATGACAGTATATCTGATGTTTCTTACTGGATTAGATCTGAATAACAGCTGCATATTTGAAGGTGTTTAATATTTTAAGGGATCCATGACTAGTTGAACATGTTGGCCTAAATATGTAGTAATTTCCTAGTTTACTTAAATATTGCTGCTTTTGATACGTGCTAGCTAATAATTACCTGAAAAATTAAATATCCTGTGTGATATTTTTCCCCCATGGAGGTCGCCATTTTATCACCAGCTCATGCAATGCATGCTGGGTAAATAATGACAGTTATCTCTTACTGGCCTGGAACCTCCAGAGGAAGGCTAACCTTAGCAGAGCTGTTGTTATATTGCATTTGAGTGATGTTAATTTAGACAATGTCGCATTCCGTCACTGTCTCAAAAGTTTTATGAGACATTATACGAGATATCTGTTGAAACAAACAAATTTTATCAGCTTGTGACCTGCAGTTTAATAATAATAATAATAATAATGAATTTTATTTATCATGCACTTTACATTTGATTTCAAATCTCAAAGTGCTACAAAACAAGTTTAAAAGACCATAACATTAAAAACAGAGTAAAAAGACAGTCATTAAAATCAATACATTAAAAGGCATACGTAGCCTATTAAAGAAAATCTAAAATCAACAATTGTAGGAATTTCTAAAAAGGAAAGTTTTTAGTCCTTTCTTAAAACAATCCACCGTCTGTGGGGCCCTAAGGTGGTCTGGGAGGGCATTCCACAGACGGGGAGCTGCGGCTTCGAAGGCCCTGTCGCCCATTGTTTTTAGCCGTGTCCTGGGTGGGGCCAGACGGTGCTGTTGGCCTGACCGGGTCCGGGAAGAGGTGTGTGGTGTGAGCAGTTCAGTGAGATACATGGGGGCCGCACCGTGCACACAGTGATGGGTGTGCAGAAGAATCTTGTACTCTATACGGGCGTGAATGGGCAGCCAGTGTAAAGTGTGAAGGATGGGAGTGATGTGCTGGTGTTTCCTCACCCTCATCAGGACCCTGGCAGCGCTGTTCTGTACATACTGGAGCTTCTGAAGGCTCCTGCCAGAGATCCCGACGAGGAGAGCGTTGCAGTAATCCAGCCTGGAGGAGACGAAGGCGTGGACGAGCTTCTCTGCAGCAGGGAGGGATAGGGAGGGACGGAGTTTAGAGATATTACGGAGGTGAAAGAAGGACGTTTTGCAGATGGAGGTGACATGATTGTCAAAGGAGAGGTGGGGGTCAAGCTTGACCCCAAGGCTTGTAACAGAGGGAGAGAGGGGAATGGTATGACCACAGAATGAAACAGAGGTGAGAGGAGAGGAACGGAGTTGATGAGGAGTACCAGTTTGGATGGCCTCTGTTTTTGAGGCATTAAGCTGCAGGAAGTTTTGACTCATCCACGCCTTTATATCCTCCAGGCAGGAGCTGAGGCGGGTGACAGAGTTGGCGGGGGAGCTGGGAGGAGTCATTTTAATGTAAAGTTGTGTGTCGTCAGCATAGCAATGGAAGTTGACCCCATGCCTGCCGACGACACAACTAAGGGGGAGCATGTAGATGGTGAACAGGGTAGGGCAGAGCACGGAGCCCTGGGGGACCCCACAGGTGACAGTGTGAGGTCTGGATTTTGCCTCCCCCAGGGCCACGTACTCGGTCCTGTCAGTGAGGTAGGAGTGAAACCAGTGGAGGGCAGTGCCAGAGAGACCAATGAAATGCTGGAGGCGGTGGAGGAGGATGTGGTGATCTACTGTGTCAAACGCAGCAGACAGGTCAAGAAGAATGAGGAGGGACGTGAAACCGGAATCAGAGGCCATCAGCAGATCGCTGGTGACTCTGATGAGAGCTGTTTCTGTGCTGTGGGAGGGGCGAAAACCAGATTGGAATTTTTCATACAGATTATTGCATTTAAGGTGGTTGTGGAGCTGGGTGGAAACAACTTTTTCTAGGAGTTTGGAGATGAATGGGAGGTTTGAAATGGGTCTGTAGTTTGACAGAGGTTCAGGGTCCAAGGTGGGTTTTTTTAGGAGGGGTTTAATGAGGGCAGTTTTAAGGGTAGATGGGACGGTACCCGTTTCCAGCGAACTGGCTATTATTTTGGTTATGAGATGACTAATGGATTGATGGTGAGTTTTGAGCAGAGGGGATGGGAGGGGATCTAAAGAGCAGGTGGATGATTTAGATTTGCGGATGATGTTCTCGACCTCCTGCTGCGTTGGCAGAGAGAAGTGTGATAGGAGTTGTGTGGGAGATGTCTCAGGGGTATCAATAGTGGTGCTGTTTGAAGGTGAAAGTGAAGAGCGGATGCTGTCTATTTTTGATATGAAGAAGTCCAGAAACCGGTTGCAGTTTACCATATCAGCTAGAGCTAAAACCATTAGCAGAAGCTAACACGGAATCAAAATCAAATCAGAAGATAATAAATGACTGTTTAAAGTGACAGTGACGCATGTTGCAGCTCATTGTTTTAATTTATCTGAGAAAATGTTCTGATGCTAACTATACACATTCTCAGTTAGAAACTGCTGCTCTTTGTAGCATAGCTCTAAATGTGGGTTAGCATATTCTAGCAGCATCCACACAAACACAAGCCTCTTCAGAAAACTCTCCTCTCTATGGTCCTCGTCCTCAAACTTTTTATTATTTCTAAATTTTTAACAAATTCAATGTGTTAAGGTTCAAACTGAAAAGGTTTAGCATCACTCATTGCTATTTTGGCTGGACAGAAATGGCACTACAGGACCTAGCATACTATAGTTACCCAGAATGCATTGCAGTGTAAACAACATGGCCGTTTCTCAATATGTCTGCTTGTGCGTTCTCATGTACTCATCAAACATCATCAGCCTTAGCCCTAGTACTGTTCCAATTCACAAGAACAAGAAGACCGAGAACGGACAAAGTCCCCGGATGTTGTTCTCGCCCCTCCCTCTTTACCCAGCATGCATCTGAGCCGTTCTTGAGATGACATCTGTCCCAGCATGCACTGCTGCAGCAGCAGCTTACAGCACTCACAGAACTATTAGTATTTAGTTAAAAGTTCTCTTTTCTGTTGCTGTTGTTCTATAAAAGTACGTTTCAAGATAATTTGAGGTTAGAATATTATACTTTTAAGTGTTACTATATGACCCATTTACTGATTTAGCGCACAATAAAAAAAAAGTTCAGATATTGGCCGTTTCTCAATTCACAAGAACGCGAGTACGTACTCGCGTTCTCATGCAAGAAGGCAGGAAGAAGGGAGTTGACGAGAACGCGAGCACGCAAGCACGTGTATTGGAACAGAAGTGTACTCGTGACATCATCACATGCAACGTTCTTTAGCATTTCTTTAACAGTCAAAACTATTTATTCCCTACACAAAACATTTTGAAAACAGTATTTTTAATTTCTAAAGCTTAAAAAACATTCAAAAAAAATTACCGAACCGTGGGTATAAAACCAGCAATGGCGGGCCAAATTAAAGAAAATAACCGCCATCAGAACGAGCGGTAGTTCACACATAACTAGACCTAGAGAAGTGCACTACAGAGGTAACATTAGCCCTGGCTGCGGTTACCCTCGGAGGTCTGCTGGCCACTCTGGTCCGCTCAACGTTGGAGTTTTTTTTTTTATTTCGCACTAACTCTGTAAACAGGCCACACAGGGAGGCCTTAAATGTATAATGTTATCGCCTCAAACGATTTCAAAACGTACTTTTGAAGAACAACAGCAGCAGAAAAAGGGAATGTTTAACTTACCACTGTGAGCGCTGTCTGAAATCAAGCTGCGGCCGCGGGGCATTCTGGGGAAGCGGTCAGTCTGAAGAACGCACAAGTCTGCTCTGATGCATGCTCGATAAAGAGGACGGGGCGAGAACAACATCTGGGGATTTGGTGCGTTCTCAATCTGGCGTTCTCGAGAATTGGAACGGTATTCGGGCTGAGGCTGATGACGTGTCACGAGTACACGAGCACACGAGAACGCTCAAGAACGCATATTGAGAAACGGCCACCGAGAGGATCGCGGTAACCAGCGGACCTCTGAGGCTAACGTTAGCGCGTCTGCAGCAGCCCTCTCTCTGCATATGTGAAGTACCGCTGGCTCTGATGGCGATTTTCTTTGTTTTGTTTGGCAAAATGCTCATTTGATTCGTGTTTTTCTGACTGTGTTCATTATTATTCCCACACTAAATGAAAAAAAGTAAGAATTTATTATTATTTAGAGATTTATGCTGCTTGCTCCTGTTCTCCCAGAGTCCAGACTTTCCTGTGTTCTTCTCAGGAACATACATTTAATTTGATCAAAATTAAACAGCTTACAGTAATTTTACGGTGATGTATTTAGAGATGGACCAATCCAATATGGGATGACTGAAGCCGCATCAGCATACCGATCCAGTCATTCCTATTTTTTTTATATATATATCATACACAGCAGGACAGATACAGCAATCAAGTGACTTCAATTTCTTAATTGTAATGGGTATTACACCATCACACAGAGAACACATAGCAGATACTAATAATTTCTATCTGTGCTAATTTGGTGCCTTTTTAACATGTTTATGTGAAGCAGGATTTCTTTAGTCACTTTGCAAGTTATATGGTTAATTCACTCATCACTAGGATCACTTATCGGCCAATAAGCTCAGCAATATGTTTGAATATTGGATCGGTGCATCTCTGATTATACATCCAAGATAATTACTTATCAGACAAAGTCTATTGTAACACCTAATGATGGATCCCCATTAAGAAAGAAACTCTTTGTTTTCTTAGAACAACTTTCTGACTCCTTGCTTTCTTTGTTCACTTGCAGGTTTATGAATATGAAATTGAAATCTATGGTGTTTGAAGATTCGCTTTTTGAAGAGTGTTTTTTTGAGGATATCACTTCCAGCAACACTTTTTTCAAAAACTGCACGTTTATTTCCACCCTCTTTTACAACACTGGTGAGGAGTTCGCACACAAACACTCTGATTTATTGGTGCTATAACATTAAAAAAATCTGAGAAAATGTTATCCTACTTTAAATAAAAGTTGTTGTTTTTTTTACAAATTTTACTATATATATATTTATTTATATATTTGAAAGAAGGGGCTCTTTTATGACAATGCCTGTGTTGTTCTTATGTGACATTTTTCCACCCCGCTCCTGTTCTCCTCCTGTCCATCCCCCTCTTCTGCCTTCACAGATCTTTTCAAATACCGTCTAATCAACTCTAAGCTCATAAACAGCACTTTCCTGCACAACAAAGAAGGCTGCCTGCTCAGTGACATCAGTGATGAAAATAACGCCTACATGGTCTACTTCGTCAGCTTCCTGGGTACCTTGGCAGTGTTGCCAGGTAACATCGTCTCTGCGCTCCTCATGGACAAGATTGGACGTTTGAGGATGCTAGGTAAGACAAAGAGGATGGGGCAACAGTGTGGAACAGCTGCTAAAGTTGTTTGTGTGAAACAAACATCCTATTTGACTAATTTGAAAGATAAATAACCAATAACTGGAAAAAGTTGCATTTGTCTCTTGCTTTGCTAAACTACAGCAAATACGACAGTGCACATTTTGTCAAATTGCACAAAACCCACACAAGTTCTATTAAAAGGCCTTTTATCTGATTAAATCCTTACATCCTGTATGTATGGACTATGAATGTGCAAAGTTGAGGCTTGATGCTGCAAATGTTTTAGGCATTGACAAAAAATTACACCCACATCTAACACCTTTTAATGATTAATTATTGACATCCCTCCCTCTGTTATACGAGCAAATCAGAGCCTTTCAAATAATTTTAAAGAAAATTAAAGCCACAAGTGGCATTGCGCGGCCCTCCCAGCTCGCACCGCCTGGTATGTTGCGACCGCGGGAACCAAGCGACCTCCACCTCCACGCTCCTTCCCAGCCTATGCTCCTGCTCTTCAGCCTATGCCTGCTGCTTCTTCTCCTCATCCTCTTCATCACCCTGCTTCTCTTCATCCTCCTCTTGCTCCTTCTGCTGCTGTCACTGTTTCCCATACTCTTCCTCCTGTAGCTTCGTCTTATCTTCCTTATCCTCCTGCTTCTCATGCTCCTCCTCCTGCAGCTGCTCTCACTGCGTCTCCTCATCCTCATCATCTTTCTCCTCCATCTCCTCCCCCTCCTGGTACTAAGTTGACCTTCCATATTGAGATTATAAAATGATGGCTTTGTATGACTGGAGTTAACAGTTTGATGCTTAGCCACGCCCACATGCTTCCATGTAGAATAATAATTTTGATAACTTTTAAACTGCTATGACTATAGTCCATGTAAAGTTAATTTGAAGTCTCTAACTAAAAAAAAACCAAGAGCCCTTCACTCAGATATGTCATGACTTAAAAAAAGAAAATGGTAACTTTGATCCAAAATGGCTGACTTCTTGTTGGGTGTGGACCATGGCTTTAATTGACTTTTTTGAGCATCCTGTTGCGTTATACAGATTTAATAATCCTTAATAAAAGCAGGGCCTGAGGCAGTTTAGTCATACTCTAATGGCGAGAAGTCTAATTTTGATGCTTGGCCATGCCCACATGGTTTGTCACAGCAAAAATCTTTTGATAACTTTTGATCCCTTATGTCTTAAGTCTAGGCTCAGCAAGTTAGAAGTTTGCAGCCCAATCGCTCAAGGAGGAGTTAGCTAACATACAATATAAAGATGAAAAAGCTAATGATGGCTTTGATTCAAAATGGCGGACTTCCTGTGGGGTTTAGACCATGGCTCCAATATAACTTTTTTAGGTCCAGATGGGTTACATATGTGTACCAAATTTCATAACTCTCATTAAAAAAATGGCCTGGGGTTTGCATTGTGTTTCATAGCAAAGGGACCACATTTGACGCTTGGCCACGCCCACATGCTTTGATGTAGAAAAATTCCTTTGATAACTTTTGATCCCCCGTACCTCAGCTCAAGGTGGAGTAAGTTTGAACTCTGTAACTCAAACGGTCTAGGAGGAGTTCGCTCAAACAGGTAACGAAGGTAAAAAAGCAAAGTGATTGTTTTGATTCAAAATGGCTGACTTCCTGTGGGGTTTGGACCATGGCCCCAAGAGGCTTTTTTGTAGGTCCTAAGGGGTTACATAGGTGGTCCAAGTTTCACATCTCTCAGTCATAACATGACATGGGGCTTACCCTTTGTTTCACTGCCTAATGACCAAGTTTGACGCTTGGCCACGCCCACATGCTTTGATGTAGAAAAATTCCTTTGATAACTTTTGATCCCCAATGCCTCAAGTCAAGTTGGAGTTAGTTTGAAGCCTGTGACTCAAAAGCTGTAGGAGGAGTTCGTTCAAATATAGAGGCTATAAAGTGCAAAATTACGGTGAAAATTTGAACTTCAATCCAAAATGGCCGACTTCCTGTGGGGTTTAGACCATGGGTCCAAGAGGCTTTTTTGTAGGTCCTGGGGTGTTTAACAGGTGTGCCAACTTTCATAATCCTAAGTCATTGCATGGCTTGGGGCTGGTCGTTTTAGTTTTTCTAGGGGGCGCTGTATAGAAAGTAAGCCACGCCCATCGATTATTGGCCTAGATTCTTGTGTGGGCTTGGACCAAGTTCCATCCTAGTGACTTTGGTGCAGATTGAAGGATCTATGAGGAGATGAGAGCCAAAAGTATGGTCACGGCGAAACGCCTGACTTTGCCAGGTCACCATGGCAACGCCATTTAACTCAAAATCTTTGTGCTTTAAACGAAGTTAGACCAACATGTTTTCTATCATCTGACAAAGTTTCAAGGTGCTGGTGTTTAAAATGACTGAAAGGGACCCTCCCAAGTGAAAAAAGTGACTTTCTTCCCTTAGGGGGCGGGGCTTAGATGATGTCATCATTTGACCATCCAGTATGGTCAAGCACCCAAAGGGGCTCCTTACTGCCAAACTTGGTTTGATTTGAATTTTTTTTGTAAAAGTTATTCAACTTTGAAATTCTTCAAAAGTAGCCTAACTTTGGGGCCCCTGGGGACCCCTTAAACATGCTCAAAAACGAAAACCTTTGATAACTTTTAATCTCCAATGCCTTAACTGCATAATGACCGAGTTTGAAGCCGATAGCTCATTATCCCTAGGAGGAGTTCGTTAAAGTTCGACATGAGCGAAAATGAAAAATGGCCAAAAATCGCACTTTGACCCAAAATGGCTGACTTCCTGTGGGTTTTAGGGCATACCTCCAAGAGACTTTTTTTCATGATTTGATGAGATCTACCTGTGTGCCAAAGTTCAAATCTCTGGGACTTACAGTTTCCCCCAACTCACGTTAGGGGGCGCTGTGGCGTAATTTGGGGGCGGCCATTTTGGATTCCATTAAAATCATGCGATTTCACACGGGGGACAACTACTGGCAAAGTTTCATGAGTTTTTGAATATGTTAAGGCCCCCAAAACTCCATTCTTAGAGGCAGTAGAATAATAATAAGAAGAAACAGTACAGATACAATAGGCCTTCGCAGCGCTATGCTGCTCGGGCCTAATAATAATAATAATAAAAAGAAACTTTCGAAATACAATAGGCTCTTGCAGCCTTCGCTGCTCGGGCCTAATTAAAACCGCGAGCGGTATTGACGGCCCTCGCAGCTCAGCGCCGCTCGGCCTATTGCGACCGCGGGAGTTGAGCGGCCGCCGCCCCCTTGCTCCTTCCCAGCCAGCGGAAAAAGCGCCACGCTTCACCTCTGGACCAGCCGGAGACAACCACAGCTTTAGTCAGGAAAGGGTTAAACTAGGGATAAAAGTTAATATCTGGGGATGAATCTCATCTGTCAGATAGACGCTGTGGCCATCTCAGCTGGTGGGTCAAAAGTATATTTTCAAAAGATGGAGAAACAGCATCGCCAAAATCCACGGTTAGCGGTATTACACCCTACTCAAAACAAAAAAAAAAATCATTGGAAATCCATAGTTTGCAATAAAATCCTGAAAAAAATCACAAATGTCAAGGAACACATCTTGCATGTCCTAGATTTTTTTAGATGATTTATTAAATAATTCAAAGAAAGAAAAATCTTTAAACTTGAATGCCATATACTGTGGCAGTTGAAAACCCCATAAGATGCTCAAACATGCATAGATTCAGGCCAAACTTGGCAAACTTTACTATAATCAAAGTATAAATAAGTGTTCCAAATTTGGCTAGGATTGCTATAAAACTTTTTGAAAAACAACAATTTCCTGTTAACACAAACTTTTGAAAAATCAGAGTGACGGACTTTTAAGAAGAGCTATGCTGTGTTTACCATCAAACAAGAAGCGATTAAAGGAATATATTCCAAAAGTCCTAGCTTTTTTGAGAAATCGACTGATTTTTTAGAAATATTTTAACATAGTGATTCTATTTTCATAAGGGTGCCGTTTGATTCAAAATGGCCGACTTCATGAGAGGTTTAGACCATGGCTCCAATGAAACTTTTTGTAGGTGTGGGACTCATACAGATGTGTGCCAAATTTCATTATCCTAGGAACGAGCATGGCTAGGGGCTGAATTATTTCCTGGCATTATCTGTCCACTTGGCCAACTATTAGGCAAGAACTCAAACTTTTTAAAAATCAGAGTGATGGACTTTAAAGAAGCGCTTTGCTATTGTAACCAAGTTACAGCAGGCTTTATAAAAAACATATTTTGAAAGTTATAGCTCATTTGGATAAAATACAGATTTTATAAAAATTTTTTGAAAAGAGGTCAGTGCTTTCACAACAGAGTAAAATGAAATTCAAAATGGCCGACTTCCGGTGGGGTTTAGACCATGGGTCCAAGAGGCTTTTAGTTAGGGCCTGATGAGGTGCAAATGTGTTCAAAGTTTCAATATTCTAGGACTAAAAACGGCTTGGGGCTGGTGGTTTGAAGTTTGTTATTTCTAGGGGGCGCTGTAGTAAAATTAAGCCCCGCCCACAAAATATTGCTCTGGATTCCTGTTTGGAGTTGGA